AAAGATTATAATGTAAGCAATATTCGAAGGAACATAAAACATTCAACCGAAGAGAGTTAAGGAGTTAACGCAGGATAAGCCATGGCCTGATGAATGCTAATATTGTTAGACAAAGAAAAGCAGACTAAACTAAAATGGTCACAGACTGCAAGCTAAATAAATCGGAATAACACGAACTACGAAATGTATAAAAGTAGGAAATCTTCAGGAAGAGAAGAAAAGGAATGTATGAAAGGAATATTAGTAATGAGGTTTAAGTAAGCATTAAGATCAAAATTATTACACACTTGAATCGCAGCGTATTCATAAAATTTCTACAGAAATCTTCCAAAAGCAGGAGGTAATTAAATTACGCTCTAAAATTAATAACCGTATTTATTCTCCTTAGAACATGACCTAAATCCTACTATAAATCATTACTAATAGAATGTGTGATTAGCAGTTGATTTATTATGTCCAAATCCACACATGATTCCACTAATGTTGACTGAGTACGGTGATAATCTTGAAAGAATAGTGTGGGATAATACTTTATATGCAGTCGATAACAAAATATTCCTCGATAATTACCACAATAATTGTCGTTTTTTATAAACAGGGCCATGACAGATTTCTTCCACTACTCTGGCAATGATTTTAATATTTTGAAGTAGTAATGGACCTTTGGGTTCCATAAATGGTGGGAAATTTCTTGATCACCAAAGCGAAAATTACGCTCTGAAGAAGGATTGGGCCGTCTAAAGTGACATTGATAGTTAGCCCTCCGTATGACAATTTAATTATTCAGATGTTATTGTGTTACGACATATTTACTAAAAAAATAAAATAGTTTTACTTTCGAAGCGACGCTTTTCCTTTTAAGAGCATTATCCAGAGGAAATCAATACAGACGAGATCAGTTCGGAGTTTCTGGGGTGTTCTCAAGCCGGGTTATACACGTTCTGAGCAGGCTGTTGTCCCTAGTTTTGCCTCCAAGAGTTCCATTATAACAACTCAAAACTCTTATAAAAAACTATCAACTTCTGGCCAAGTTAGCGGGTTATGTCAAGCAACGTGTAGCTAGTCTCTCAGTATGACCTGCGGCAATTAAGGTTGCACCAGGCCCCAGGGTGTCTACATCGATCGCACTGCTCTTTGCGGCTAACAACTGCAACTCTACTTGAACAATGCCACAAGTTCGGTTCGTTAATGCGTCTCTCTGATACCAAAGCCCGCCATTGGACATAAACCTTTGCCCTATTTCAGCCACCTCAGATTCTTAAAATCTGCCTCATTAAGGTTCATCTTAATGTTATCCTGTTTCTTCAAAACATGATAATGACCCATTTGGCCAAGAAATCCCCCGTCGTTTATGGAAGTCCATGATTCACTGTCGTGTTTCCATCATCCCACCAACTGGACCCTGCACTCAGAAAGATGAATTTAGTCCTTGGATTTACACCCAGTTTCTTTTAGTTCCATTTTAATATTATCCTCCGGTCTCTCAAAGAATCTATTCCTTGCAGGTCTTCCAAATTACACTTTGTATAAGCACCTTATCTCCAAGATGCGTGCTACATGGCCCGTCCATCTTACTTTTCTCGACTTTATCAGCCTCGTGATATTTGGTGATGAGTATAAATTCAGAAGCTCGTCATCAAACAGCTTTCTCCAGGTCGCTGTCCTTCTCTCTCTGGTCGATTATTTCGCGATTTCTTCTTCTCAGACATCCTAATTCTATATTCATCCCTTAATTTGATAGGGCAAGTTTTGACAACAGTAAATAACTCATAAAACTATTGTTTTGCATATTTAAGAGAAATGCCGGAAGAACAAACTGATTTTGAGGTGAAAAGCAGTCTGCGTTTATCAAACAAAATCTGTTTCTGATTTTATAATTCTGTTGCTACCAAGCACCTAACTCCGTCACATTCCAAAGGAGTATTTGTTATAAAGATGTCTGTCTTCTGGGGTTTAGCACTGTCTAGTCTGGTAGATATTTAACGACGTTTCAGAGTAGCTTAGTGCCGCCATCACCAGGGCGAAGTAGAAGTTGCGCGGATAGGTTGTGATATTCATGTCAGTTGTTTGGACAGGGAAAAATTCTGGAGGGACCAATGGTAAACGAGGAAAAAGAAATCAGCCCTGAAGATGGAGGCAGTATATTCTTCTGAAACGTTGGTATCTACCTAAATGTAAAACGGTGTTGAAATACACACGACCATGAGAACCCCTAAAATTTTATTTGAGTTGAATAGGCTTAGTACAAAAGTGTGGAGTCTAGACTTTATAGCAGTTTTAGTGTTTTCATCTTGAATTTCACTAATTCGGTTTCCGTCATCATCCCACTTTCAAAAGAGAGATTAAATTCTGCGCGTCTGTCAAAATTCCATTACAACAGAAAAAACAAACTGTCATTTTACGAAACCTAAATCAGAAGGTAGAACAGACATCAGCCAACATGACAGATACGTTAATGCTGAGCTAAGCTGCTATGCTTTAAAAATGATTAACTTTGTTTTGCATGCTCGTAACTTTGCACTGTGCAAACAGCATGTGTTGGTTTGGCTGGCTGCTGTTCTGTGTCACGTGTAAGCATTTCCCGTTTTGGGTTACGTGTGATGGACTGCAACTGACTGGAATTTGTAATTCCTTGCGGCAAGAATCGAGTTAAACAATGTGTTACTTGTCCCCTCTAGTGTAGACTCCTTGCCCTGAGGAGTAGAAGCCCACGCACTTTCCCAACTGTGGCACTTAAATTGTCTGTGGAGTGCAATTCCACTCAATTGGCGGAATGAAAATTGAAGTGAATTGAACTGGCTCTTTCGTTCCTGACTCTCACTTGTGGTTTCAAGTAACGTCCGGCCATTCGAGAACATTTTTATCAGATCCAGTTATGGACCCTCCATAAACGCTTTCTGTTTTGCATGAAAATGAGCAAGGTACTGAATTATTTAATTTGAAGACGGCTGTATTGTCGGTTGTTGCACCGTCTTGTGTGGTAGAGGATTACGGACGTTTCAGTGGTTCAGCGAGGAGGTAACCTGTTTGTTTCATTTGTTTATTTTGTTTGATTTATATCCCACGATTTTATGGAAAGTTAAACGAAGAAATAATATCATTTATTTTAATAACAACAGCCTAACATGGAGGGTAGTGGTCAGCATTTCGTACCCATTACGTTTCGGTACGAATTTCGACCCGATAACCGCCTATTCTCATCGACATCTAATTCATCACTTACAGATACATCAACATTCTAAATTGCATAACTAATCAACTTTTGGCGCATTGTCCTTATTAAATAGCTTAACAATCGTTCATCCAGTAAAAACAATCGTTTGAAACCTACAGTTTCATTACCTCGTTAAGACAATCCACCGCTCATCCATATCCTGAGCCACATGCATCCAGTGCACATTCTACATCTCTACGTATTTAAAATCCATTCTTCCAAATGGTTTGAGCGTTTCTGATCTCTTCCATGCGGGCTACATGTTCTGCGCATCACATCCTAATCGATTTTAAGACCCTAATAATATTCGGTGAAGATCAAAAATTATGTAGCTCCTCATTAAACAGATTTTTCCAGCTTCTTGTCACTTTCTCTCTCTTACGTCTCATGTTCTCCTCAGCGCTGTTACCAGTGTAAGAGACGAGGTTTCACACTCATATAAACAAGGGATAAAGTTTTAGTTTTGTGTGTTTTAATGTTTTGGAGTTTATGTAGCTGACTACAGACAAACGAGTGTGAAGCAAACTGCAGTAAGCATTCAAAGAATAGTTTATCTGTAAAATACATTTTAAGTATAGCTCGCTTGGAAATAAAACATATGCAGACCTGTAAGATTTTAGGTTTTCATAGCGGTGAGTATGAAGATTTCTGTCTTCTGGGTTGATGCGCTGTGTAGTCTGGTCGATGTTAACCAACGTTTCAGAGGTCATACTGCCTCCGTCATCAGGGCGATGAGTATGAAGATTTCTGTCTTCTGGGTTGTTGCGCTGTGTAGTCTGGTCGATGTT